TCTTCCTTTTTCTTCTTTTTCTTCATTCTTCTTCATTCTTCTTCTTCCTTCATCTTCTTCTTCATCTTCTTCTTCTTCTCTTCCTTCTTCTTTTTCTTCTTCTTCTTCCTTCATCTTCTTCCATCTTCTTCTTCTTCCTTCTTCTTTCTTTTTCTTCCTTCTTCTTCCTTCTTTTTCTTCCTTTTTTTTCCCCTTCATCTTCTACCATCTTCCTCGTCTTCTTCTTCTTCTCTTTCTTCTTCTTATTCATCTTCTTCTTTCTTTTCTTCTTCTTCTTACTCTTCCCCTTCTTCCTCTTCCTTTTCTCCTTCTTCTTCTTCTTCTTTCTTTTCCTTCTGTTTCTTCCTTCTTCTTCTGCTTCTTCCTCTTCTTCTTTTTCTTCTTCTTCTTCTTTTTTTTCTACTCCTCCTCCATCTTCCTCTTCTTCTTCTTCTTCTTCTTCTTCTTCTTCTTCCTCTTCTTCTTTTTCTTCTTCTTCTTCTTTTTTTTCTACTCCTTCTCCATCTTCCTCTTCTTCTTCTTCTTCTTCTTCTTCTTCTTCTTCTTCTTCTTCTTCTTCTTCTTCTTCCTTTTTCTTCTTCTTCTTCTTCTTCTTCTTCTTCTTCTTCTTCTTCTTCTTCTTCTTCTTCTTCTTCTTCTTCTTCTTCTTCTTCTTCTTCTTCTCTTTCTTCTTCTTCTTCTTCTTCCGTTTTATTCTTTTTCTTCATTCTTCTTCATTCTTCTTCTTCCTTTGTCTTTTTCCATCTTCTTTTTCTTCGTTCTTCTTCTTCTGCTTCTTCTTCCTTCGTCTTCTTCCATCTTCTTCTTCTTCTTCTTCTTTTTCTTCTTTCTTTTTTGTCCTTCTTCTTCCTTCTTTTTCTTCCTTCTTCTTCCTTCTTCTTCAACCATCTTTCTCTTCTTCTTCCTCTTCTTTTTTTTATTTGTCTTCTTCTTTCTTTTCCTCTTCTTCTTCCTCTTCTTCTTCCTCTTCTTCTTCTTATTTGTCTTCTTCTTTCTTTTCCTCTTCTTCTTCCTCTTCCTCTTCTTCCTCTTCCTTTTCTTCTTCTTCTTCTTCCTTTTTCTTCTTTTTCTTCTTTCTTCTTCCTTCTTCTTCATTCTTCTTTTTCCTCCGTCTTCTTCCATCTTCTTCTTCTTCCTTCTTCTTTTTTCTTCTTCTTCTTTTTCTTGTTCTTTTTCTTCTTCTTCTTCTTCTTCTTCTTCTTCTTCTTATACTACTTCTTCCTCCTTCTTCTTCTTCTTTTTCTGCTTTTTCTTCTTCGTCTTCCTTCGTCTTCCTCCATCTTCATCCATCTTCTTCTTCTTCCTTCTTCTTATTCTTCTTCCTTCATTTTCTTCTTTTTCTTCTTCCTTTTTCTTCTGTTTCTCCTTCTTCTTCTTCCTTTGTCTTTTTCCGCTTCTTTTTTTTCTTCTTCAATCTTCTTCTTCTTCGTTTTTCTTCCTTCTTCTTCATTCTTTTTTTCCTTTTTCTTCTTCTTCTTCTCCTTCCTCTTCTTCTTCTTCTTCTTCCTCTTCTTTCTCTTCCTCTTCTTCATCTTCTTCTGCCTCCCCCCTCTTTCTTTTTCTCCCTATCTTCTTATTCTTCTTCTTTTTCTTCTTCTTCTTTTTCTTCTTGTATATTGTGTTGTGGTTTACAGCAAGGCTGTAATATTTGAGATGCTGGTTTTTTTTAATCATTACATTGATGTTGTATAAACAAATAAAAATGCATTATTCAATGCAGATATGTTTGTGTGTAGCAGCTTTATTTTATTCATTGTGCATGTTTGTATCCTGAAACATTCCAGATCTGGGGCATGCACTGTCATCATTATCAAAGGCCCTGGTGATAATTGTGCATGATTGTATCCTGAAACATTCCAGATCTGGGGCATGCACTGTCATCATTATCAAAGGCCCTGGTGATAATTGTGCATGTTTGTATCCTGAAACATTCCAGATCTGCAGCATGCACTGTCATCATTATCAAAGGCCCTGGTGATAATTGTGCATGTTTGTATCCTGAAACATTCCAGATCTGCAGCATGCACTGTCATCATTATCAAAAGCCCTGGTGATAATTGTGCATGTTTGTATCCTGAAACATTCCAGATCTGTGGCATGCACTGTCATCATTATCAAAGGCCCTGGTGATAAATGTAAGCGCCTGTCATGTTTCCTCATCTCACATGATCACCAGAATTACAGATCAGGACAGTACTCTTGTCCCACCTTGTCCATTTGGCAAAGTCATCTAGGTCTTTATCCCTCTAACTTGCTTTTCTTCTTCTCATCAATTTTGCCAGTAGTTACCGAGTTCTCTAGTTCAGTCCTTCCCATAATTTCCCCCCCCCCCCACACACAAAAAAAAAACACAATAAAAAAGACTAAGTTCTCTTATTAGTTTACAGTTTTCATCTGTCATGAGAATGACTGTTTCATTTGATTTTCTATCATATTCTTTGCATCTTCTCTTTGCATCTTCTCTTTGCATCTTCTCTTTGCATCTTCTCTTTGCATCTTCTCTTTGCATCTTCTCTTTGCATCTTCTCTTTGCATCTTCTCTTTGCATCTTCTCTTTGCATCTTCTCTTTGCATTTCTTTTCCTTGAAGGGGCTGCATGGTCTCGAAGCACGGTGTCCGCCTTGAGTGCTAGAGGTTCCAGGTTCAATCCCTGGTAAGGGCTGGGATTTTTTCCACATGGACTTGGACTAGTAATCCCCCTGGTCTCTGGGTAGTGAGATCGGACGCCAGTGTTCATTGTTGTGCATGTAAAAAAATCCATTGGCAGTCAGAAATCAAAAAGAGTAGCCTAACGGCGATGCCTGGGCAAAATTTGGAGTTTAAAATCTATCTAAAGTATTTCAGGATCCTCACCGGTGCTACAGAGTCTGTGCACTGTGCTGAGCTTCTCTGGACTCAGACTTGAGTTAGAAGAAGAACGAAGCACTTATAAGTTACTACCCGTGGGCCATGATGTTGATCTGTTGTTCAAACTTCCTTTGCTTGCATTTCTTTTGCTTGCATTTCTTTTGCTTGCATTTCTTCTCTTTGTATTCTGTTTGCATTCTTCTTAAAAACTACATCTCTGCTATGACCTATTTTTTTTTTTTTTTCGAATAATGCAGACACAAACAATACATTGCCCAATTTATTGCCAGGTATATTTCACTGTATCTCGTCAGGTGCGTTACTACAGAGTTACATCAACATATAATGAAACACAAAATGAATCCTTTTCTTGTTGAAATGCATAAACCACATTATCAAGTTGTTGTAAGTCTATCCACAAGAAATTCAAAATCAAAATTAGTCACATGACTAATATGGTAACTTTGAATTGATCATGTGATCTTTCTGTTTACATAGTAAAGGACAGCAAAGTATTTGTGTCTGCATTATTTAAATTTACAATGGGATAACATTGTTTTAAAGTTTTTATCTCTGTTCATTTTTTTATTCCGTAAAATTCTTTGGATTTTGTGACATATTCTGTGAACCTCCATAAAATCAAATGATTTTGTCAGTTTTCTAAACTCTGGCACAGTCCATACTTTCAAAAAACTTGTCAGCTCAAAGGACTAAAACAATATTTCAAATACTCCATTGACATTCTGGAGGCCAAATCTTGCAGAAGTAATAAACGACATGGAAGAAGTAAGTAACACAAGCACAGAGCATTCAGCTTTGCAGAGACTTGCGAAAGCTTCATTGTGCCCTGGAAATATAGTTACAACCTTCATGGCTACACATACTTGTTTTTATCGAATTTAGCAGTTTAGGTTTCATTTCTGCGGCCATTTCAAGACAGCACTGCTTACTAATAGACATGATTTAGGAGGATGGTGTTGAGGTGTGCAGACTGAATGTCATCATAGTTCTTTTCATGAGTAAAACACTGTAAGAATAAAGAATTTCTATGTTTCTAAGAGTTAAACAAACATGTATGCAACACAAGAAAGGTACACAGTAAATTTAGTATTTGATAGCAGAATGTGAATAATGAAAATAACAGCAGAAACAATAGAATAGGAAGAGAAATACAGTGAGTTTTGGTGTGCGCTTCTTTTATGGCGGAGTTCATATTATAAAATTTCCATCACTCCATCATGGATTGGGAAAAGGGGGGGGGGGGGGATTTCTTGCTTTGTTCTCCCCATGTTTAAGCGCTTAAGTTTGTTAGTGAACAATCACTTTTTTTAATTGTATCTAAATGTTACAAATCCTAGTCAGTAACTTTCTTGTGGTAATCTTGTTTTAGACCAAGCCATCTGAATAGCATTTCTGTTTTTTTTTTTTTTTTTTTTTGTTATCTGACACAAGTTCTGTTTATGTTTTCCTCTAGATATCATTACTGATCCTGCCTTCTTACATTTAATTTAGAGCTAAACACCTTTTTTTTATATTATTTCATGTTTTCCTCCTCTCCTTCTTTTTTTTTTTTGCATTGATATGGTAATCCTGAGATAATGAAATTATATTACAAGTTCTCTTTTGCACCACATAGTGTATGTTTTAGATTTCCATAACCAGCTGAAATTAGATAAGTAGGAGCTAAACATCATGGTATCTTTTTTAGTTTCTAAATTATAAGAAAAAACAAAGGGAGAGAAAAACGGGGGGGGGGGGGAGGGGGGGGGGGGGGGGGGGGGGGGGGGTGGAGAATTAAAGTTTGCACACACATTTTACATCAAATATCTATTTTAAAAAATTATTACTTAAAATAATTTCCACAGCAAGTCTATGAATTAAAAGATTTTGGAATTTCTGTAGTACAAAAAAAGCTCAAATTTCAAATGGATATTAATTAGATAAAAGAATGTTAATTTAATTCTGACATAAAATCTATAAGTTAAAATAAATTAGAGTTTCTGTGTAATTTCATTGTAAGTTTCCACAGTAAATAAAATATGTAGCAATAGTCTGTGAAGGCATCACAGCAGCTATGTTGTAATGCAACAATTCTTTCAAACATTCTAAAATAGCATCCAGTGAGACTTCTCTCTTTTCTCTTCACACTGCCGCTACTGGCACATAATCCAAAGAGAGGTCATGCAGAGCAGCACCAAGACCAACTGACTTGAAGCCGATGACATTGTGGTCAAAGAGCCTGTTTGCAAAGGAGAAAGAAATTATTATACAACCCTCCATGGCTGTTGCTTATGTGAATCAACATAACTGCACTTTGGATTTTTGCACACATGCTCTATCCTCTTGCTCGGAAGCCAGAAAGGAGTTCTCATACTGAGGGTACCTTACTTGTTGTTATTTAACTAAGTCCCAGTCATCATCATCAAATGCCTTACCAGCTGGTGGAGTCGTTCATGCATCTCCACAGATCTCGGTCTTTGGTGTTCTGGATCACTTCCACTAATGATAATTCTCCATGCCTCTGTCTTAATTAAGCCATCCACTATCATTTCTCCTGGTCTGCCTCTGCATCTTCTACCAGTGATCTTTCCAGTTGTCACAATGTTTTCCAGTGCTTTTTTTTCATCACATGACCAAAGAAGTTTGTTTGGTCTCCTTCTCATTGTTGTATAAAATGTTCTACTTTCATTAGCTATTTCCGGGCAATCATTGTTAGTTATTCTGGCAGTCCAAGGTGTCACAACATTCTTCTCAAGAACCACATCTCAGTTGCCTCCAAAATCTTCTTAATTTGTTTGCTCAAATTCTAAGATTTACTGCCATACAACAGAAAAGTATGGGACATAATTTTTAGTTTTTAAAGCCCCACCCCGTCTTTAATCAGGGGGCCGTAAAATAACAACGGTTGAACAGGGTTTCTGGGACTTGTGCCCAGGTGATCCTCATTCAAATAATGGCACCTTGTGTCATCAGGCGTTGGTCGCTCATTATATGATCCAAGTGGGGTTGAACAACATGTGATGGTACCTGAAGATTAAATCTTTAAGTCATTGAATTTCATAGATAAGGCCTGACTGAAGCAATAACGATGACAACAAAAGCATAGGTATACTTCATCCAAAAGGTCCAAATACCCAGCACATTGTGGGTGACTTGTGTTGCTGGGTGGATTTAGTTTTCCTGTACAAAACATGTTTACCAGTGCACAAAAGTAATATCCAGTACTCATAGTGCGTTGAAAGGGCTATATAGCATTCTTTGTTTTAATAATATGTCCCCCTCTATACATACCAGTTAACACTACTCTGATTTAAATATGTGTGCACACAGAATGTGAATGATACAGGTACTGAGATGGACTCATGGGAACAATATGTCATGGACCTGATTGTGTCAAGGGGGCACATCAGGAAGGGAATGAGAATGAAGAAAGAAATGATTGCAGAAAGAATGAGAGATGAGCATCTGAGAAGAAACAGACTAATCACAAATGTTGACAACAACAGTCAGAAAATCCCATGCTATGATTGTAGAAGACTTTTCTAAACATGGGCAGATCTTGCTAGTCACACTTGCTATCGCCATAGGCAGTGAGTCCCATACCTCCTCAAAGCGCAATATAATACTAATATCTGGAAAGATGAAAATATGCCAATCAAAGGTGCTCCTCTATACATGGAAAGTTCTTGTACCGAAAAGAAATATTTTTTTTGTTTAAACTGAAATGTTCTCACTGGTCAAAACAGCTTTAAGTGGGAACCAGAAAATGTATGGAAAGCTGAGTTATGAGTTGAGAACCAACATCACAGCACACAGAATATCCTCACGCACTCCATCTCCACCTTCAGCAGAAATTCTCATGGTACCAGTAACGGTCTGATTGTATATCCATCTTGCCACTCGGATAAAACCCTGTGCAATGAGGTCATAATGATGATGTTAATCATGACTATGAAGTTTTATTGATGGTGATGATAATGTTATAGTGATGATGATGCTGATAATGATGATGATGATGACAATAATGATGATGATAATGATCGTAATGCATGAGGATAATGGTAATGTTAATGATAATGATGATGATTATGGTGATAATGTTAATGATGATTATGGGGTGGTGTTAGTGATGACGGTGATGATGATGATAATATTGAACTTTATGATGATAATGGTGTGGACATACCAAATGAAAGTTATGTTAAAGATCTCAGATGATTACCATTTTAAAACCAAAATATTTTCCTTTTGATGATGATTAAGATAATGATAATGATGATGAAATGGTTGATTATCAAAATATTTTGAACTATAACAAATGACGTTTGTGTTTAGAATCTCAAATATGTACAATTATAACAACCGTACCTGCTTTGGCACTCTCCAGATGTGACTGGCTGTTGTTGGCACTCACGATGGCATCAGTGCCAAAGTTACTACTTCCCGGATCTTTGGTTATGGTCATTTTGCCTTTATAAAATGGGTTAAACAAAGCAATAATCATAACCTTTTATGGTTAACTTAATTCTCTTTTAAGTATAAACAATTTACTGAGATGACATTCTGACTAGTAGGATACATATCTGAATGATTACTGTAACTACTTCTGAAGCCCCTTGTACCTATTTGTTTCCTAAAAATTGTTTCCTAACCATTGTTTCCTAACAATTGTTTTCTAACAATTGTTTCCTAACCATTGTTTCCTAACAATTGTTTTCTAACAATTGTTTCCTAACAATTGTTTCCTAACAATTATTTCCTAACAATTATTTTCTAACAGTTGTTTTCTAACAGTTGTTTCCTAACATTTGTTTTCTAATAGTTGTTTTCTAATAGTTGTTTTCTAATAGTTGTTTTCTAATAGTTGTTTTCTAATAGTTGTTTTCTAATAGTTGTTTTCTAATAGTTGTTTTCTAATAGTTGTTTTCTAATAGTTGTTTTCTAAAATAGTAGTTTTTCTAAACAATTGTTTTCTAATAGTTGTTTTCTAAAATAGTTTTCTAACAATTGTTTCCTAACAATTGTTTCTAACAATTGTTTTCTAATAGTTGTTTTCTAATAGTTGTTTTCTAATAGTTGTTTTCTAATAGTTGTTTTCTAAAATAGTTTTCTAACAATTGTTTCCTAACAATTGTTCCCTAACAATTGTTTTCTAATAGTTGTTTTCTAAAATAGTTTTCTAACAATTGTTTTCTAACAATTGTTTTCTAACAATTGTTTCCTAACAATTGTTTTCTAACAATTGCAATGTTTAGTTCTGCCATGCCTGCCTAAATACCTGTCATAATAAAACCAGGCCATTGGTTATCACAAAGAATACTCATGGTAGGTAGGTAAGTAGGTAGTTATACCCCACCAGGACATCACACAAGCGATAAACACCCGGTGATACAAAGTTCCACCATACGGATGAGGATCACCCGTGCAGAGGTCTCAAATACCCTTTTCAGCCGTTAGGCCATATCTATGGCTAGGCCATATCTATGTCCCTGCTTTATTCAGGGCTCATGGCTGAAGACAGGGTGGGGCCTCAAATAAACAAAAAATTGCATCCTACATGAGGACGACTTCATAACAATAAGAATACTGAACTTATGCACAAAGGGAAGAGCTGTACAAACCAATAAACACTAAGTAATACAAAATCAGCATAGACATTCTTCATAATTAACAGCTGTTCCTAATTTCTCTCTCTCCCTCTTCCTCATTCTCTCTCTTCTAACCCTCCCACTGGCTCACATGCAAGCTGTCTTTTGTTAATCAATACAAGAGGTAATCTTCTTGAAAACTTTGAACAAGCTACAATACCAGGATCATTTTATAGTCAGTTTGTTTAAGCCTTTGTTAGGTCTTCAAGCACAATAATTCACCACCAGACCATATTTCACAACTCTTTTCTCAAGCACACTTCACTGATTCTGCATTGTCATTGAACTCTTTCTTACCTGTATCGCATCCTTCAAGCTTGCTTGTCAGCAATTGATAAAATGCCCTGGCTTCCGTCGTGCTGAACAACCCACATGAAGTTAGAGCTTCCTGAGAGCACTGGATCACAGTCAGTGTATTCCTTAAAAGAGAAACAAGGTATTTTATTTATTACTTCCCCTGATGTCTCAGAGGTACCTCCCTTTGTTTTCTTCTTCTTGTTCTCCTCAGCGTTCACCGGCTGCAAAGTATAGAGAAATGTCCTGGTTATTCACCAATTCTGAATTTTGATCTTTTTCTATACGCACACATACAGGAACACACATAACATGAAACACAGTCAATGGCACGCTGTTCCCATAAATCTGCATCCATAATGCATCATTCATGTCTTGCTTGCACACATCTTTTTTTCGGCAATTTTCACTAAGTAGATCGCAAAAGCCATCTCTGCTATTACTGCTTTTCGTCCTTCTTAGGACGTTATTTTTTGTTATTTGAAGCCCCACTCTGGCTTTTGCCAGGGGCCGCAATATAGGCAGGTCATCATTATGGCCAAATGTCTGAACGCGGTTTCTGGGACCTCTCCACGGTGATCCTCATCCGCATGGTGGCACTTTGTGTCATCGGGTGTTTATCGCTTGTGTGATGTCCTGGTGGGGTAAAAAATCCAATCCAAAAGCCATCTCGGTCAATCCTTACGTCCTTTTTAGGACGTAATTTTTTGTTATTTGAAGCCCCACTCTGGCTTTTGCCGGGGGCCGCAATATAGGCAGGCCATCAATATGGCCAATTGTCTGAACGCGGTTTCTGGGACCTCTCCACGGTGATCCTCATCCGCATGGTGGCACTTTGTGTCATCATGTGTTTGTCGCTTGTGTGATGTCCTAGTGGGGTAGAAAGTCAGTCAGTCAGTCAAAAGCCATCTTTGAATATCATAAGATTCAATTTTCGTCCTTTCTAGGATGAAATATTTTGTTATTTGAAGCCCTACACTGGCTTTTGCCAGGGGCTGCAATATAGCCTGGCCACAAATATGGCCTAAAGGCTGAATGCGGATTCTGGGACCTCTCTACAGTGATCCTCACCCACATGGTGGCACATTGTGTCATCGGGTGTTTATCTCTTGTGTGATGTCCTGGTGGGGTAGAAAGTCAGTCAGTCAAAAGCCATCTCGTCATCCCCTTGTGGAATGCAATTTTTCATTATTTAAAGTCCTACTCTGGCTCTTGCCAGGGACCCCAATCTAGCCCGGCAATAAATATGGTCTTCTTCTTCTTCTTCTTATGCGTTCATCCAAAGATGTAATTGCGTTGTGTCCGTTTACAGCATGGCTGCAATATTTGCACCTTTCGGCTAGCACATCTGACTTCTGTGGGCATGTGATGACCGGGTTAGCCTTTCCGCTTAAATATGGTCTAATGGCTGAACGCGGTTTCTAGGACCTCTCCTCAATGATCCTCATCCACACTGTGGCACTTTGTGTCATCGGGTGTTTATCGCTTGTGTGATATCCAGGTGGGGTAAAAGTAAATAGATTTTCATGTCAGTTATATGTCACTACACAATATGTCAGAGTCACACATGTGAATTCCTACTTCAAACAGATCAAAATGAAGAATTACTTCTCATGCAACTACAGAGTTTTTCAGAGATCACAATGTTCAAGTTTAATTTTCTTGAAGCACAGTTTTGGCATCTGGGCGCCAAAAAAATGGGTGTACAATGAAGCAAACATTTACATGGAAATTACTTACTGACAAACATCAGGAAAGTTTTTGATGCTCAAAGATGCAGCAAGTGTAATATCAAACTGACCAGCACATTTGATGACAGCTGGACAATTGTGTGACCACTGCTGTACAACTTGATCTAAATTTGATAATAAAACAATAATACATAAATACAATTTTATACCATAATCATCATCATGTAGCAGGTACTTTGCAGAACGTCACTCTCATCACAGTCTGCCTGAAAGAAACTCGGTCTCTCGCCAGCTCTCCCGCCTCATGTACTTTCATACTCAAGGAGTCACTTATATCCTGTGCGCATCTTTATGTTGGTTGGCCCCTGCCCCTCCTTCCTGGTACCATGCCTTCTGCTATAATTTTTTCCAATCTGTTGTGGTGCTTGATATGACCAAAATATTTCAGTTTTTAAGACAGGATGCTGTTTATTTGCCAATCTTCCTTGATGTTCAGATCTTTCAAGATGTCAGTATTTCTCCTCTTCTTTGCCCAAGATATTCTGAGAATCTTTCTAGAGCATTTCAGCTCAAAAGCCCCTATTCTCTTTCTTAAGGACTAGGAGATAGTCCAGGACTCACATCCGTAAGCAGCTACAGAGAAGATGCATGCTCTCAAAATTCTAATTTTTATCTCCTTGCTAATGCTTAACCATAGACTTTTTAGGCTGTTTAATTTTGGCATTGCTATGGCCATCCTCCTTTTAATTTCCGCCAAACAGTCTCCATTGCTATTTATTATAAAGCCTAGATATTCAAAGTTTGTGACATTTTCAATTTCTTCACCATTTATTGTTATATTTGCGTAACAGCTGGGTGCAATCCCGAGAAGTAGAGGCGGCCGGCGTGATGCTGACCACATCACCCATCTTGTGCCGTTGGTCTATAAAAATATAGGTCTAGCCCTATATGCCCTATACGCCTAAAGGCGTGGAAAGGGTCATTTACTTTACTTTTTACTTGCGTAACAGCCAATTTTATCTGTGGACATTATTTTTATTTTCTTTAAATTCAAGAACAGATTTTGATCTTCACTGTGCTTTTGGACAGACAATATTAAATTTTCTATTCCCTTTACGCTGTTTGAATTATAATCACACTAAAAAAAATTTAACATTCTTCTTCTTCTTCTTCTTTTCTCTACTCCTAGAAATGCTTTGTGGCACCAGGTAAAAAGAACAACATAGGTCATGACCTTAAGAGATATTCTGGAAAGAAATCCTTTAACTTTTTGAGTCCCTAGGAACGCATCGTACGTTCATAGATTACTACCTAGAGGCTCAAGAATGCAAGATGCGCTGATTTCACGTCTCTTTTGACTACCCCTTGGGCCTGTGATGCTAAACCCCCTGGGACTCAAAGAGTTAAATACAGAAATTCTACACAGATCACTAATTTTTAAATTTTTTTTTTATAAATGTATGTACATTTTAAAATATATATATATATATATATATATATATATATATATATATATATATATATATATATATATATATATATATATATATATATATATATATAAGGAGCAATCAATAAACATGAACAGAGTGAAGCATTAAATAGAATAAATTCCACACATATATGTAACAGTTCACTCATGCCTTGACCTTGGGATCTCTGTCACTGAGGCTTATAGGAAAATGTTTCATCAACTTGGTTTTGAAACAAAACAAAAAATTTGGTTTGAAGGAAACTCCCCTGCCACTCTTAAACTTAAAATATTCATGCATTCTTCAAGACTGAAGATGGAAAGCAACAAATTTACCTTCAGCAAATGAAAGCTGCAGTTGGCCCATGGTGATTGGTAATGCTGTCATGGTGTCTAAAAGAAAATGCAAAACTATAAAGCTCATGAATATTCTTTCAACATTTTAATCTATTTGAATCTTTCCTTCAAAGAATAATAAAGAAAACAATACAACAAATGTACAATAAACATACAGCTTGGAATCAATTACTTGCTTTCTTCTTCTTCTTTATCTTTGAATCTCATCTTCAATGACAAGTGCTTATGCTCAGCCTCACTTTTGTCAGGTTCCTCTTTAGTTCCTACTGCATAATGATAAATGTTCATTGAGAAGGGATTGTCAGAGAACTGGAGATAGCTTATGCAATTCATTGCATGTGCAACTACTTATTTAGTGAGCTACATTTCCAGTGTCAGACGTTTTGGTGATGGCACTTCTGGTGGCTGCCTTGTGCATTTATTGTTTTTGTGTGTGCGAGTGCAAGCACATATGTGTGTGTATATACTTGCATGCATATATATACTTGAAGGTTTTAGCTTTGCTCTATCTGTCTCTGAATATAGACACATTTACAACTGATGCAACAAAAACTCACCATAACATTCAAACAATCCACTCTGAAGCACAGATATGGGAACGCCTGAAATTAATTCACATACACATCATTAATTTTCAGATAAACATGAGTACAAAAACAAATGGTGACTTACCAAATTAGAAATATATATGCACTACATATCTCTGTCAAAAACATGAAGTGTCGAACAGGATACTTACTGTTCATAGGAAATAACTACTACTACTACCACTACTGAGTGTCTGAGAAAAAAACCACATTAAATACATGCAATGGCAAGAATGGACCTGAAACTCCATGTTCTAATTATGAAAAACTGTTCCTAGCATGAGCTGGTCTTGCTAGTCAGACTTGCCATCACCATGGGTATGATTCTCATCCCTCTGTATAGCACAGTACAATACTATCGTCAGGAAAGATGAAAAGGAAATTATTTAGTCACAACAGATAATCCGCACTGCACATTGAACATTGTAGGTTCTATGACCCCATTGTGAGGAAAACAAGAACAGACCCACTGTATTTCCCATAGACCCACTGTCTTCCCCATAGACCCACTGTCTTCCCCATAGACCTACTGCTTTCCCCATAGACCCACTGCCTTCCTCATAGACCCACTGCCCTCCCCATAGACCCACTGCCTTTTCCATAGACCCACTGCCTTCTCCATAGACCCACTGCCTTCCCCATAGACCCACCACCTTCCCGATAGACCCACTGCCTTCCCCATAGACCCAATGCCTTTCCCATAGATGCACTGCCTTCCCCATAGACCCACTGCCTTCCCCATAGACCCACTGCCTTCCCCATAGACCCACTGCCTTCCCCATAGACCCACTGCCTTCCCCATAGACCCACTGCCTTTCCCATAGACCCACTGCCTACCCCATAGACTCACTGCCTTCCTCATAGACCCACTGCCTTTCCCATAGACACACTGCCTTCCTCATAGACCCACTGCCTTCCCTAAAGACCCAATGCCTTCCCCATAGATGCACTGCCTTTCCCATAGACCCACTACCTTCCCCATATACCCACTGCCTCTTCAAGAGAATTTTTTAGGAGTCTACTAATTGGAGGCTTCTTTTGAGGTCGGAGTGCATCTGCCCAAGAGGCAAGAAACAATCTGCATACAAATAGGTCAGATCTGTTAAATGGATGTGCACACAACACCCAGGCTCCGTCAGGGGGCGGATGAACACCCAGAACTTTCCTCTAAAGTTTACAGCAGGTGAACGTGAAAAAGAAGATGAACCATTCAGTCCATATATGCTCAGATTCAGTCCTCAGGAAATCCTGCAGTGTGTAGCGACATCAGTTCTGTGTTGGTTTCTTATTCTTCTTTGGCTTCCTGCATAGTGCTCTTGTCTGGCCATACATTTTTCAACTTGCTCTTCTTTCAGTCTGGTCACTGCAGATTCAGTCACTTGGTTCTCTCAAATATCTTACTTCACACAGAGCATTCAATAGGCAAATAAATGAAACTGGGTCTTTCTCAGCCCTGACCACCTCAGAGATAGTCCCGTAAGCCTCAGAGATAGAGGTATTAGGGTCATGGCGTGAGTCACACAATACATAGGTTTTTACTCACCGAGAAATATGTTCCATTTAATGCTTCACCCTGTTTGGTTTTTTGATTACTTCCTTCTTACTTCCTTTATATATCTTTATATATTTTAGGGGAAGGGGAGAGGGGATTAAAAACTGTAAATAAGTAAATTACTTTCAAATTCATCAGGGTCATGACCCAGTTATTTAGTGTTCATGGGACCAGAGGGTTAAACTTACCTTGAAGAGAACAATGCTGACTCAACATCAAGTAGTGGACTTTTGTGACATTTCTGTAAACTGCCTCTGCAACAGGTTCTGTTCCATTCTTCACCAGACCACATGAGCAGGCCACATCAACAACACAGAATAGGTAGTTTGTGTAATCACTGGGGCAGATAGGAGGTGGAAGGGTTAAAACACTGGCCATATCACGAACAAGAATGAGCTGTCACGAACAAGAATGAGCTGTCCGAGGTGCCGTCTATTGTAGAAGGATTGGAAGCCCGCAATTTTAACGATATCGTCGCCGAGGTGTGTTTCCTGTAGGACAACAATGTCGTTGCTGTAGAGGAGCTTCTCAAAAATGGGTCGGCGTTGACTGAACGAAGCGCAGTTCCAGTAGAGAACACGAACATACTTTAAACTGAGTCTCTCACATTTCAGTCGCTTCCTGCAGGCGCCGCCATGCTTGCCTGTTCGCGTTCTCCTTGTCCGTCTACGGGTTGTTCTGAATTGGTAAATAGTCGCCATCGGACGTCGAATACACCCTGAGGGAAGTCTAAACTCACGTGCATGTACTCCATTGCACGGTTCAGACCCCATTCCGATGAAACTTTCACATTATACGTGAGCGAAAATAGCTAATTTGCGCTATTCGCCTCAACGGACGAAAAAGCGTACCGCCATTGTGGCTGTTTACACCGGTTGGCTGGATCCGCTATCACTACCGACGGTCAGCCTATGGATCATGCTGATATTATCAATGCCCTCAGAGAAATGGGAAGAATAGAGGACTTTGGTGGCAGTGAATCCACATCACTCGCCAGAATGGCAGACTTGGGAATTAAGATCGGCACAGCAAAAAACGAGACGCACACCAGCTACGCCAGAAGACTTGTTAATCAACATAGAACTGGTACTATTAGCCATCGGACGTTGGGGTTCATACTGAGGGGAGGATCTGAGCACCTATGGACATGTCCGGAGTGCAATGAGGATAACCCAACTAACTAACTAACTAACTAACTAACTGGCCATATCAACAGCACAGAAGAGTTGTTTAATCACTTGGAGAGATAGGAGGTGGAAGGGTTAAAACACCCACATACTACACACACCACACACATATACTATACACATACATACAAAAACAAACACACAGACACATGCACACACACTCGAAAGATATCTGAGTCAGTAGTAGTTAACATAATACATACTTGAGTTAGTTATAATTAAAATAATAGATATCTGAGTCAGTAGTAGTTAACATAATACATACTTGAGTTAGTTATAATTAAAATAATAGATATCTGAGTCATAAATAGTTAGGATAAGTAGTAAAAATAAAAGATATCTGAGTCAGCAGTAGTTAAAATAACAGATATCTGAGTCAGTAATAGTTAAGATGATATCTGAGTCTGTAGTAGTTAAAATAACAGATATCTGAGTCTGTAGTAGTTAAAATAACAGATATCTGAGTTATAAATAGTAAAGATAATAGATATCTGAGTCAGTATTAGTTAAAATAACAGATATCTGAGTCTGTAGCAGTTAAAATAACAGAAATCTGAGTCATAAGTAGTAAAGATAATAGATATCTGAGTCAGTATTAGTTAAAATAACAGATATCTGAGTCATAACTAGTTAAGATAATAGATATATGAGTCTGTAGTAGTTAAAATAACAGATATCTGAGTCTGTAGTAGTTAAAATAACAGATATCTGAGTCATAAATAGTAAAGATAATAGATTTCTGAGTCAGTATTAGTTAAAATAACAGATATCTGAGTCAGTATTAGTTAAAATAACAGATATCTGAGTCTGTAGTAGTTAAAATAACAGATATCTGAGTCATAAGTAGTAAAGATAAGAGATATCTGAGTTAGTATTAGTTAAAATAACAGATATCTGAGTCATAAGTAGTAAAGATAATAGATATCTGAGTCAGCAGTAGTTAAAAAAACAGACATTTGAGTCTGTAGTAGTTAAAATAGCAGATATCTGAGTCATAAGTAGTAAAGATAATAAATATCTGAGTCAGTATTAATTAAAATAACAGATATCTGAGTCATAAGTAGTAAAGATAATAGATATCTGAGTCAGCAGTAGTTAAAATAAAAGATATCTGAGTCATTAATAGTTCTAAAAAATACATTTTGGATTCAGTATTAGCAAACATAATAGATATCTGAGTCAGTAGTGGTTAAAATAATAGAATTCTGAATCAGTAATAGTTATAATAGACATCTGAGTAGGCAGTAATTAAAATAATAAATATCTAAGTCAATGTTAGTAAAAATAATAGATTTCTGAGTCAGAAGAAGTTAAAATAATAGATTTCTGAGTCAGCAGTAGTTTAAAAAAGTCAGCTGAAATCATCACTATCATCATCAATTTCCACTTTTGCTGTTAAGCATTATGGAGAGGAACAGTTTGTGATCCACTTCTTGATAAATAGCAATGTAATTGCATGGTAATGTAGCAGGTCTTTAATGTCATCAATCCATTTCCTCTTGGGTTGACCTCTTGCTTTCATAGGAGATTTTTTTTTTACTAGGTAGCGCCTGTGATGGTAGTTTTTGTAGCTGCAATCTGATGAGAAGACCAAACCATTTGACCTTCTGTTTCTTTATAAATCTAGTGCATAGTGTTGTTCCCACAGTCCGTCGGATAATATCATTTCTCACTTTGTCTCTGACAGTTAGGTTGGCGGCTTTCCTCAGGCATATCATTTCACAAGTGTTTATTTACATAGGTTAGCCTCTGATAGTGTCCAAGTATGGCGCTGCTAGCGCAGTATTTGTATGAATATTGTGTTTATAATCTGTTGCTTGGTGGGCATACTCACAGTCGGATGTCAAAACAATGGCATCAGTTGGTGTATATAAGTGCACTTGCTCAGTACTTAAACAGGAGTTAAAGTGAGAAATATGCGAGCCAGTAGGAGTTAAAGTAAAGAATATCTGAGCAGTTTAGTTAACAGATATGCTTGCTTGCTTGCTTATTTGATTGAAACAAATTAATCTGACCACCTCCAACCAGCTCCTTTAAAAAAAAAGGGCTTGATCATAATTTCAACTGTGTTTCTCAATCAAGTTTATTGGCTAAACTTGGGTTTTTATACCACAGTTTACAGCTAAATGTTCCTATTTGTTTATTATGATTCCTTTCTGGCATGTTTGGGTTTTGAGATATCAGAGTTACCAGAATTTAAAGTAATGTATATCACAGTCAGTAGAAATTACAAATGGAGTTACAAATAAATATATTCTTATTTGCAAGGTGTCCATATGAGTACGAATTAACAGAGGGCTTAGAGATGTGTAAGAAAAAAAAAGAACAAACAAAATGAGGAACTCACATGCATTCTTTTGCAGAATTGGTGCCATTTCTCTGTAGCTCCAAACACACATCCTGAGTTCTAGCTTTTAAGCAAACTTCTTCTTCTAGAACACAATTTAAAAAAAAAAAATTATTTTATGAAAGTTGTTGATGTATAATACAATGGCATGTTGAATAGTTAAATAAATAACATTTGACAATTGTCATTTTTAACATAAAGTAAGTAAAGATCCCTTTTCACGCCTTTAGGCGCATCGGGCATATGGGAAGAGCACCCATAATTCTACAGACCAAACGGCACTAGGTAGGTATATGGTCAGCATTACGCTGGCTGCCTATACTTCCCTAGGACATACATCCTGGTACCCATTTTAGGCTGGATCGATCTGTGGCGCCCCACATTATGATAAAAATCTACACAGCCAGCAGTGGTAATCAATCACGGTACGTTGGAATTACGAGTTGGACTCGCAACGATTTTTAACATAACATTAGACAATTTTCATTTTTAACATAACATTTGACAATTCTCATTTCCAGTGTGTTGTTTATCCAGAGCTTTTGTGCCCCTACAAATTAAAAAGATGCAGGTACTCACAGAAAAAAAATGGGTGCCTAAAAGGTGCTAGTACTCACCAGAAAGTCTCTATAATAGTAATTCTGAAAAAAAAATGATGCCTTAAAAGGGTGTCGGTACTGCATATGATTATTTACCACCAGAAAAAAAGCCCAGTTTAGAAAGGCAGAAGAGAAAAGAGAAGCTGTCAGTCTATTTCTTTCATGGTCTTCTCTTTACTGCATTTATGTTTATTTCTTCAGCATCGCACTTTGCGGCAGTTGGTATGAGGGAATTCTCATCAGCTGGCAAAACTATCTAATATGTTGTTTTTAGTGAATTAGTTGAGTTGAGTTGAGTCAAGAATTGACATCACAGCACTCAGGTCATTCCCATGTGTGCTCCATCCTCATCTTCAGCAGCGAGCGCAGAGCTCCATTACTAATGTTATCGGTTGCTCTTTAGTGAACTGTATGACTGGTTCAAGCCTTATAATTTCTTCATTTTGAATCTTTTTCTCCTTGTTACTCCAGCAGCTGTTCTAAGTAGTTATCATTTTGTAGTGTGAGATACCAAAGATTGAGTCAAGTCATGGTTAGTTGCGTATCCTTTACATGACGTTGCAGAACCAACCCCAACAGCCCCTGGCTTTTGTGTGGTTTTTCTAGGCAATTTTACACCCAGTAGTTTGTCATTGCTTTCTGGATGGTCAGCTTTCTTGAAACCACTGTCGAAACCAACGAAAGGCGCATGGCCCACAGTTGGGATCAAACCCGGCATTAAGAAGTGTTCACATTGACTTAGCCAACGTCAAGTCAAGAGCATCCACTTTATTCCACCGGGTTTTATACTATATGGCTCCATCACATTCCACTGAATGGCTAGCTGCCTGTTGCACAAAGCACAAACACCATAGCTCTGGCAACAAATCTTAGGTTTAGTAAAAATTGCAATTGTTCAGCAAACCTAAAAGCGTTAGAATGTGAGACAAGTAGCTTGACCATTTTGCCACAGAAGAATCCCTACAAAAGGGGAAAACAGAAAACAATTGCACAATAACTAGGATTAGGAGGAAGATCTTGTCACAGATCATGCAGATGTTAACACTGCTAGAGTTAAAGTAATGATGTGGGCTGCAGCACAGGCAGTACAAAAATGGGGTTAAACGAGTTGACTTTAAATTTACATTGTCACTGTTTAAATAAATATATCCCCCAAACACGTGTCATACTACTTACCATTGCAATCTTTCTTATATCCAAACGGAGCATCTAAAAAAAAATTATTTGGCAACATAACTGAATTAA